CGACTAAGGTTAAAATCGGGAATTCTTTCGATCTTTAATTCCCATTCCATAGTCATATAATTACCATAGATTACAAAATCTTCACCAGGTCCAAAACTGTTGAAGGAGTACTGACAGAGCTCTCGGTGCGTACAATCTTTAGAGAAATAATGACTGAATAAGTGCACACTTGCGAAGTTTTATTTGGTACATGACACATTTTATCAAACTGATATTTTTCGTGAAGCGTGATTATTCTGTGACGGTCTGCCCCCGCAAACTCCAACGCATCCACTTACACGTGACACCTTCCTTTCGGCCCAAACTTCATCGTAATTCATTGCTAAGACCGAATACGAATTGGTAATAGTGTAGTGCGAGATAGAGGCCAACCGGTACTGTGTCCTTCGGATACTGACTGTAGTCGGACAGGGCTTAGTCTTAGGCACTGAAACTGAATAACCTCAAAGGCACTCGCATGTAAGAAGCAACGACCTGCTATAATTGCATGCTGAGCTGTATGTCCTCTCAGAAAAGTTTTCTAATAGCCCTGCTTTCTCTTACTTCCGATAAGTACTCCCACCAGCCTTCTACTGTTGGAACCATTGCTTATTTTGAGCTTATGAGGCAGCTTCGAAATTAGCTGCACATTTCTGTACATCAGTACCGAATTATTTGATTCTTTAGAACCCTGAGCTTTACTTGCTGATTGTTACGATTAAGAAGTATTGCTTCGTTCTTTGCCTTCTTCGACTGTATCCAGCAGTCAGGCGTACGCCAAAACCAGTGATAACAACTATCAAGGTGGTACGGTACTATTAAGAGAAATAGTACACAATAAATACACAAACCTTAACAATAGATATTCCAAGTCAAGAGCAAAGGAAGTCGGTCAAAGGGGCATGGATCTGGTTTTATAGGATTCCAGGAGGCAGTTCCTGTGAATTCCCATTGGTCTGAAAAACACCAACGTCCAAGGGGGGGGCGGACTTGAACAGACACAATACTGTACTGGCAAGGGGGCGGGTTGCAAGAGTTTGAAGTCAGTGGTAGTGGGGTGGCTCGATGAGTGGTTCTCGGAGTAGCTGCGGGTGCTGGGTCAAAAAAGGGGAGGGGGAACGGACAACTGGCTCGCCATCGCCGTATGCCTTCACGGTGGTCGCCATATGAAAGTGCAATGTGAAAATCGAAAGAAGGGGCCAAGACCGGGGGAGGGCAGTATTCATTCATGTGCATTAGAGTGAGTCATGGGCGATCAGCACTCCAGGGGGAAGGAGGACAGCCTTCGGAAGAGTGTACACAATCATTTTGTAGGTCGGACAGGAGTCTCATAGGAGAAGAGATGTGGGGAATTCCAAACTTGTTCAGCCGGAAATAACAAGTATTGCTGAATATTTCGTACGCCACACACAGGCCATTGGCCGATTTCGCATCTATAGATGTTTATATGGAACTGAACGCCGGTGTGATAACCGTCAGCTCTACTGGAGTGACCTATTTTTACAATTTAGTCGGCCGATATTTTAAACTTTTTTTATGTCCTCGCTCTAATTTTTTTCCATTTCTGTGAACAATTTATTATTTTTCTTCGATTGCTAAGGCACTTCACGATGGTTGTTTTGTAACCTAGAATTTTGAGAAAATATGAGAGCTTCCTGATATTCACTTAAATAAATAAATTGTATATTCTTATACTGCAGGTCTGTTTTGATTATCATTTTCTCCTGGTCAACAAGTTCTTAAGTCTTCCGGTGGAGGAAAATGTAACATCAACAATTTTTCATTCTCCTCACCGGCATTTGCTGGACTACTTCTTTATTTTCGGGAATAATCCGCATGGCGCGCTCGTGGCTAAGTCTATTTGTGCTGCCGACTACTAGAAAGATCAGCATTTTTTTCATTTCTAAAAAAGCTCCAACTGAAAATGCGTAGGCGACCCCAAGGTAGGACGGCATCGGTAAGTCACACATGGTACGGTTGAACGCCGGCTGAATTTTGGTAGCTTAATTAACCCAAACTGAAAGAAATACAAACCCGGTATACGTATATTAGTCTCCAGAACTGGGTGAGGAAACTGTGGAATACCATGCAGGCCCCCACGATGCACTCGCTTTGAAGGGTACGCCGTCAGAACCAAGATGTTTTTGACGACAATAATGCAGAAATACATCGTTTCCCCTCCGATAAACACGGCCTACACCATCAACAGTATTACCGTCAAGAACGCCAACAGTTAGTATGACAAGGGTAGGGGAGATGCGGAACAGCTGGCTGCCTTTCCAAAATGAAAAGATCCAGGGATAGGTCAATTTTCACGAGCTGAAGGATGTCTTCACTTTTATTAAAGCAGTCTACGGTTTACAAGCCAAGGAAACTGTGGCAGTGCTAAACCATGTTGGAGCGGCCCTCCTGACGCGTAAGTCACCGATCTTGAAGCACTGAGCGACTCAATTTTAGGATGCCTTCATCTACTGGTCGACGATATGCCAAGAAGCCACCGAACGGCTTATTCAAGTGTATACCAATGAAAACCTCAATCGCCCACCTTCCTTCATCTACACAATCAGAGCATTATAAGCTCTGCCTTTTGAAAAATCGCCGGCACAAAAGCAAGCCCAGACGGCCTACAACTCATGAAAAAGTTTATCTGACTATTCCATAGGATAAAATAACAAGGCCAAGACTTCAAGGATACCACCATCTTCCACATTTATAAGTGAAAGTGGGACCGAAAGCTGTTTCATTATGACAACAACATATTCCTCCTCCAAATTACAAAGAAAATATTTGCCTGGGTCACATAAAATTGCCTGAACAGTCGGCTTGGGCAAGATCATCTTTCAAAAACGCAGTTCGAATTCTTAAATAATCTTTGCGGTTCACTAACTGCAGAAGAACTGCCAGAAAATTTGGAGCCGGACAAAATGGATCACGTTGCACTCTGGTCAACTATGCAGAACTTCAGACGTCCTCAGCCTTATATTTCACAGGTAAGAATAGTTAATGATTGCTTGACAGATCGCGTCAGGGACAATGGGAGAACCCCTTAAGTATCCTTGGTCAGATTAGTTTTCCTGACAGTACTCTATGACAGGACGTTTTGCTGTATATGAAGACCAAACAAGAACCCTTAACTAGATTCACCTTAGCTAGGTGAGGCAAAGTGAGACCTGTGTGTACGTTCCTTAGCCTTAGTAAAAAAAAATTAGTGACAAGGACTTCCTTGAATTGTACTTTTGGAATTGTTTAATTCTCCATCAGTACAATGCGCAAGCTTCCAAAACGTCCGACAAACGAACGCTGCAAGCACCATTCACGTCTGTTGGAAGCACACTCTTTGGCACAACCTGTTGACTGACCAAGTCATCTGTGGCACATGTAGATTAAAAATCGTAACGCTCTTAGTCCCTATGCCCAATCGGACAGTTCGACTGTTTTTTTTCAGACGAGGTCCACATCACAGAACTCTGAGTAGATCGACGGTAGATCGCGTGTGATTTAGTTAATGCTGATGGTGGAATCCCGAAATGTTTACCACACTCTCTTTGTCCCAACTGGGTCCGGCGTCGTGACCAAGTCAAAAATACCGGAGTCACAGTTTCTAGCACACCGTGCGCATCAGACCGTTTATAGTGAGGAAAATGTGCTGAGACGTCGAATTCCCTCTATCCATATTCTCTAGTTCCAGCCGCTGTCCGAGTCGGTTAGTTGGCCGTTGCGGGGACGAAGTCAACTTACGCGTGCAGAAGAACTACTTAGCCTTGTCAGCAACTGAATTCGATCCGACCTCTGATCTTGCCACTGGGTTGACATAGGTGGGGGCGGCAAACAGTGCAGTAAACGCAGGGCAGGTCTGCCGTGCTATAATCTAATTGAAGCGTACGTCACCATCCCTACGCCCACCCTGCTATCGTA